GTTTAATTGGAAAATAGGCTCGAAGTTTTGAGCTGCCAATGTAATCACCAGTCTGATTGTATCATGTCTAGCAATTGGAGCAAAAACTTCGTTGTAATCAACGTTCGTCTCTTGCTTATAGCCCTTGGCTACAAAGCATGCATTGTACTTGTCAACTTGACAATTCTTCTTCCATTTTATCTTATAAACCAACTTGACACCAATTGTCTTTTATCCCTTTAGAAGATTTGTCTACTCCCATATGTTGTCTTTTTTTAATAACCGCTATTTCATCATCCATAACCTTTCGCCGTTTTGATTCTTTGATAGCACTTTCAAAACTGTGGGATCACAATCTGAAAATAGAGCAAAGTGTGTGAGTAGATCTTCAGTTTGATCAATTTCGATTACCTCATAAAATGACATTCATGTCGGCTTCTTTCGAACACGATGAGGATGAGATACAACTACATGTTTCAACATGCTCCTCAAATTCTAGTGTTGTCTGTGTGATTTCAGAAGTTATAGGATGTTTATTTTGAGGATTCTTATGTACAACGATTGCCAGAATGAGATGTTGCTTGGGTTGTTTTGCTTCATCATCTTTTTTCCCATCAAAACTAGTTGGAATTTGTTCTCCAATAATATTTTTGTTTCATGGCTAGATTTGATCATCATAAAAAACATCTCAACTTATGAATATTTTCTTAGTGCCAGAATTGTAAAGATTATAAGCTTTTAATTGATCACTAACACCAAGAAAAATACATTTTCCCCTATCGTCTAACTTTTTCCTTTTCTAGTATGGAATATGGACATATGCAACATATCTAAAAATTTTGAAATGATCTGTTGATGGTTTTCGTCCTCTTCATGCTTTCTCTGGTCTCGTGTTTTGAACAACAAGTGTAGGATTTTTATTTAGAATATAAATGCTCTAATAAACTGCTTCAGGCCATAAATTTTTTGAAATACAGCTCCTTGTCAAAAGGTTTCATACCATGTTAAGCGCAGTGCCATTTTTCCTCTCACATACGCCATTTTGTTAGGGCTTATAAGCTGATGTAAGTTATCTCTTGATTTCATGGGTTTCACAAAAAATTGCAAATTCATGTCAATTATATTCTTCACCATGATCCATGCAAAAATCTTTTATGAGATTGCCAACCTCTTTTCTCAACAAATGCTTTATAGCTTTTAAAAGTTCGAATTTTTCTTGCAAAAAATAAACCCAAATTTTTTAACTATAATCATCAATGAAGGTAATTATATATCTTTTACCTCCACTAGAACACGGAGTTATTTCCCAACAAATGTCAGAATGAACAAGCTCAAACACCATCTTTGCTCTCCATGATTTTCCTTGTTGGAATTGATTACGATGTTATTTGCTAACAACACATTCGTCACAAATTTGAGAAGGTGCCAAAATTTGAGGAAGACTTGTCACCGTATTCTTCTGTCATAGAGTTTTTATACACCAAAATTAAGATGCTTGTAGTGAAAATGACATAACTATTCCTCCTCTTTCAATGTTATAGAGAAACATGAGTGGGTGGTGAGATACAATGAAAACATTCGATTGGTTGTCATGTTGATTTGAGCCACCAAGCCCAATTTGGTAATTTTTCATCTTCAATTCTACAGACTATCTTTGATAGAGATCTCATATCCCTTTTTTCTTGTAGTTGACCAACACTAAGTACATTTATTCTCAGTTCTAGAATAAAGAGATTATTAGAAATGGTTTGTATGGAACTTTTATTAGTCTGAATTGCTACATTTCCTTTTCCTGTGATAGAGATTTTAGAACCATTGCCAAATTTCACAAAATCACGAAAAGATTCATCCAATTCAGCCTACGATTACTGCAACCTCGTGTTTAAGTATTACAAATTCTTGTGGGTTTCTTCACATGATAGGCCATTAATCAAGACACTTCTCATTCCTTCTTACAAAGTGGGATTGCTTATCAGCATAATTCTTGAAATTGGCTCGACATTCTAACTTGTAATGGCCATATTTGTAACACCTATAGCATTCAACTCTTGTTTTGTCTAGTGAAATTGATTTAGAATATGTTGAATGATTGTCGCATGACCTCTTCCTCTTCCTTGTCCTGCAATATTAGAAAATTGATTATCTTCGAAAATTTTAAAGGAGTATCTACCATGATTGTCGCCTTGGCCCTTTCCTAGTCCTTGATCTCCTCTTTTTGATGTCGAAAAATGATTATTAGTTGAGACTTGTAACGCTTGCTCCTCCTTATCTTGTTGATGCATTTTCTGCTCATGAACTGGCAAAGCACTTTGTAACTCATCAAGAGAAAGGTCATCTCTATCATTTGATTCCTCTATGGAATAGACAACATAATTGAATTTTGTTGTCATGGAGCGAAGCATCTTTTCAACAACGGTCACATCTTCCAGAGTATCACAATGTATCCGCATCTTATTAGCGATTGCCATCGTCATTAAGAAGTAATTTGAAACAAATTCTCCATCTTCATTTGTAGGGTTTCAAATTCACTACGAAGTGCTTGGGGCTGCATCCATTTAGCCCTTGCACTCTCCTGATATTTTTTCTTCATGGAATCCCAAATCTACTTGCTAGTATCTTTCTTAAGAATGTTTTTCAAAATTGAGCAATCAATAGCTTGGAACAAGTAGTTTTTTTGCCTTAAAATCTTTTAATTTTCAACCTTTCTTGTTCTGTCTTTTACCCATCTGTCAGCACAACACTTATTGTTGGTTTTGCTACTTTAGAGACAACAACCATCCGGTGTTCTTTGGACCTCAAGAAGTTGTACATGAGCATGCTCCAATGGTCCCAGTGACCATCAAAGCATAGAATTGCAATTCTTAGAAGCCATGAAAGAAATTAATCACACAAATGAAAAGATGTAAGTTGTTACCTTAAAATACTCCCTTACGTGTTTACATACCAATGATAATAAATGGGTACTCAACAAAGAAAAAACTGATGCAAGCAAAGAAAGTTACTGTGCATTTTAAATGGGCTAAAGAAAAGAACAAAAGCGAATAAAAGAAGTGGAAATTACATATTCTAATAGATTAAAAATCTCCATTTCATAAATAAGATGCAATGTTTAATATTTCACAAATTAGAATTTTTTAATTAATTAATATATTTAAAAATTAATCTAATAAATAATAATTTCATACCCTAATTATTCTTTCATTTTTATTTCCCCCACCCCCAATTCTCTCTCTCTCTCTCACGTCTCTCTCTCTCAACACTACTTGGACTGGCAATGGAGAACCGATGGTGATTGTGAGGCTCACTAATAGTCACCGTTGTCGCCCAGTCACTGTGGTAGATGTGGTGGCGCAATGAAATAAGTGCATTTGCGAAGCAGATCCGCCAATGGAGGAACTGCTAGTTGCACGTTGACGAACTGGTGGCGAGGGTTTTTGGGGTCGAATTTGGCAACGATTTAGCTGTGAACGACAAGATTTGGCGACGACCTGTAGCAATGACTATAATGAGAGGTTATGGTGGCGGTGACAAAGGTTCTCTATTTTGTTACAGATTTGCAAGGCTAGCGGTGAAGTGGTGGTGATGGCAGTGGTGGTCGTGGCTGTGGTGTGGTGATTGCGGGTGGTAGGGTCTGTGACCATTTTGGGTGGTGGTTGTTTTGGTTGTAGATTGGCAGCGACGGCAGTGGCGTGTGTGCGACAGCGATGGGTTGTGGTGACAGTGGTGGATTGGTGGTGGTTATACCGGTTTGGTTTGGTTAATTGGATACATGAAGTCACAGTTGGTTGTGGCGGTTTGGTTGATTGTGACTAATAATTGGATATGTGACCTGAAAATTGTGACCGTAACTCTCAATTGTTACTTACAATTGATAAAGTTGTGATCGAAAAATTAATCGTGACCAATAAATCCAATAATTTTACACTGAAAATAATCTGTGACCTAAAAAATTATGGATTCTGTGACTTAAAATTTTTTTGGATTCATCACTGAAAATATTTTGTGACCTATAAAATTTTCGATTTGTGATCGAGAAATAAGTTGCAACAAAAAATTTGATAAATTGTGAATAAAATTTAATCTGTGACTAATTAATTAGATAATTGTGACTAAAAACTTTAATCTGTGACCGATAATTTTTTAATTCGTGACTGATAATTTATAATTTGTGACTATATAAGAAATTGTGACTTATAGTATTCGTGATTTGTGATCAATAAATAAATCGTGGCTTAAATTTTTTTTTATTTGTGACAATAAACAAACTGTGACCTATATATTTTCGAATTGTGATCGTAAAATAATTTGTGACATAAAATTTTTGATTTGTGACCAAAAAATAATACGTGACAAACTAAATCGTTAATTTGTGACCAAATTGTACAGATTTGTGACCTAAATATAATTAATTAATTAATTAATTAAATCATAAATAAATTTTAATAAAAATCTGATTTTTGAAGTTTGAAACTTATTTTCTTAATTATGAAAGGTGTGATACTTAAAATTTTACTTATGAAATTTTCCCATGAAAGAATGAGAGAATTGAATGCATGAAAAACCTATACAGAGTGAGCTATTTATAGTCATAGGGCCCAACTACATTTACAAAAAATCTGCTTACAACCCCCAGCTAACTCCCTAGTGACTGGGTAAAAGCTTTTATTCATGAAAATAATTAATGATAAAGTTCTAACAGTACGTAGGTTCACTAATGATTAAATATTATTATTCATTTAACAACGTGATTTGAGTAGAAGATACTTTTAAATGTTTAATTACCTTACAAAATAGTGAACTTATTTTGATTTTGATCAAATAAAAATTACTTAAACTTCTTTGTGTTGATATTTCATTAATATTCTATTTTCCAAAATAAATAAATACATAGTCAAAATAGATAATTTTCAATTAACAAATTTAGTAAGCCTTGTAATATTACCTTACAAAATAGTGAACTTATTTATTTCATTAATTTTTAGCACACCTTTTTCTTCAAAATATAATGACTTGAACATAAGAAACAAATGACTAGTAATAATCTCTTATATCAGTACCAATTTGTACCACATGCACAAGCAAAAGGCTGTTATCAGTTTTTGTCTATATATCTTGATCACATTATCCTTGCCATTGGACTTTCCAATTTAAATCCATCAGCACAAATCCAAGTACTCTGTAATACAAAATCCAACGCACCAATGTTTACAAGACGCGCGAAGAGTTGAGAGCAAGCAAACAATGACGACTATGGACCAGTGAGAACCTCACACTAAGAGGCGTAAAATACATTCATGGTTATACTGGCACAGTTTGCAAGTTCTCTTGGAGTCTTTCAGCTTTGCCGCCTATTCGTTAGTAGAAATAACTCAGACGCTGATCACGCCAGCTACCCATGGAACAATTAATGGCGCATTTGGATGTGCATTTCTATAAGATTCAGGATACCTGTCCTTAAAAGTTGATTTGGGATTCTTCGACTGCAAACGTAATCAAAAGACAGATTTATTTTCGATGCATTACAGGTTATGATTTATATGAGTAAAACATAACGATAAAATCAGGTTCATGTAAAGTTTGCAAGTAAACTAACATATTTCAACCAGCATTCTTGATTTTTGTGTTCATAAATATCTGGAGAGTGGCATCCAGTCTCCGATGGGCAATAAACCCATATATTGCATCTCTTTTCACCAGGTTTGGCCCGTTTGGCTTGATTCAAACAGGCCATACAACATTCATATGCAGACTCTTTATGGTGGGTAAGGCCCCACCTGACAGCATCACCACCATAGTCTGTATGAACTTCGGCATGGCATTCAAGAGGGAGCTGTCTGCCTGGTAGGATTCGACTGTCTGGAAAGAGAAATATATCTCAGTAGAAGGAGAAATGCATCTCAAATCCAAAAGGACGAGAAAGACGGCAAAGAAAAGAAATAGTGATTAATCAGTAAAATGTATAGATGATACAAAATAATTAATCTTTAACCCAAAGAAAATACTGTCATTACCAAACTCCTCTTCACCCTCAGGTTTGTCATCATGTTCCTTATTAATGATTTTGATCGGAATCCAGAGGCCAAAATTTTCTAATAACTCTGCCCAATCAGAACCCAAAGCTCTGGCAACAATGCCTGCCAATGCATTAGATAAACTTGACATTGCAACAAATTAATCCGAAATACTAAAACAGTACAAGGTCGAAACAATATTGTATAGAACAGATTGTACCAGCTTCCTCAGGCAAAATCGTTGAATTCAATATTTTCCCACCACCAAGTCTCTTTACATTTTTTAGTTTTTCTTTCCGCCAGCTTTCAACTGCCTCTGTAAAATGGAAACAGCATTAACAAATTAACAGATTGAAAAACAAAATACACATGATGACACAACATATAGACACCAAAAAGAAAAGTCACAGATTTAATGACAACGAATATGTATTCTTCCGTGTCATCTCAGTTGTAGCCCAAGATCCATTCAAGTTTTCAAGAACTATGCAAATGCTCAGAAGATTTTAGGTCGTATGACAAGTAATCCCAAATGGTATGGCAATGGACGAGAAATTATAAGGAAAATCATATATCCATATGAATATATTTATAAAAATTATTCCATCTCTTCAACTTTTTCAAAAATGAATTTTTTTTGGATAAATATGGCTAAATGTAGCAATTTGTTCTCTGGAAAGAAATCAGCTGTTAACATATCCAAGAAACCAAGAGGATCAAATTATCCCTTGAAATAGCACTTTGAGCTCAATTTCTACTCATTTAAGTCAAGGAACATTCTAAAGAGATAAGCTGAAAACAGATCCAAGAAACCTAACAGATCATTATTTCTGACTTTATCCCCTGCCCATGCACATAACCAACACATTAATACAGACACGAAGGAATGTTTAACTAAAACCCTCACGCGCATAACTGAAAGCACACATAATAGCTCAAATACGAGAAGCACTCTGCAACTGTGAATTACAACATACAAGCATTTTAACATCCTTCTAAAGATATACTCCCGCTACTGAAATTATAAAATTGATTTCAAGAGCATCCAATGACTCTTAACACTGAACTGAAGACAGATATGGCCAAAATTTAGAATCTAGCCCTTAAGAATCAGAAAAGATGATGCAAACCCACAAGTTCTTAATTCATTCAAAAATGACGAGAAAAAAGGCTGATCTGGAGTAAATAAGTCATACCGAAAAGACAGAAAAGAAGATAATTGACACTCTTGATGCCACTTGGGCCAAGAATAGTCTATTACCTTATTTCAAAACAATACTGAATATGGCCAAACATGTAGCTGTTTTCGATGACCTGAACATGCTCTATGGCAGCTCCCAAAGATCATATTAAATTTCTTTCAGTAGGTATATGCTCTAACTTATTTGCATACATTGTTTTTCATTTTTCATTACAGTTCTCGTGGAGAACTTTCACATGAAACGAGACTAATTTTATTCATCCAATTTTGCATGATTCAAAATGTATCTAAATCACAAGATCAAGATCCAGCATAGAGCATTACCTAACTAGATAATTATTTGCTTTTAAACTGTCTACAGAACCCTAACCTAATCAATCTAGCCATTAACTACAAGACAACTACCAGAAGTTTCATCTACACTCATGTATCACTAATGAATACTAGAATCAGGTCCATCTAAGTTATTATGATGCATATTATTTTTCTACAGCAGCTTGGAATTCATGCTAACCATTGTACAAATTGACACTGTCAAATAAGCAAATTGGAATGTTCAAGTTCATCCAACTCTTACCCCGAATCAGCAACTGGAATAAAAATCTTTAAGTAAGTGGGTAGAAATGAACTATGAGCGCCATGTGGGACAAAATACACATTACTCAAAGCTTGAGATATACCAACGAAGCTAAAGAGAGATTCTGAACAGCTTAGCATTTTTGAAAAGCATCATTTCAAGATACATCAACATAATACCCAAAGATGAGACTAAATTTCCCACCAGCAATTGTCATACAACACCGAATCTAGAAAGGTGAATAATAAAAGCAATTAGGTAAAAGGGATTGCCTAACTATAACTAAACTGCTAGGTAAAGTACTTCTTTAAAAGTAATATGATTTTAAGCATTTGCAACTGACAAGTAAAATTGTCCATTTCCTATTGTGGAGAGAGCTTTTACAGCACATGGGCAGGTGGAAGAGAGAAAATGCCACCCTCCACTATTTGATAAATATATGCCCAAAAAGGAGAAATATATAGCATTTACATAAAAAGAATTTTCTAAATATAACAACCTGTGGAGTAAGGGAACTTTTTCTGACGACGTATGATTTAAAACATTTATAACCAATCAAAGAGATGGGCCCGAGTCTTATGTTAGAGAGAGCTTTTCCAGCTAGCAGGCAAAAGGAAGAGAGAGAATGCCCACATCTGCATGACGATAGGTTCAGGCATTCCAATCTCTCTTTTAAAAGAGTAACTCAACTTCTTAACCTAATTTACTAGAATCGTTTGATCAACTCTACATAGAGTTCATCTTTAGGAGGTTTTTAATAGAAATAAATGGTAGACACGGATCTATATTCTATGTGTCATATCATCTGAAGAGGTATCTAACTTAACGGGCAGCCGTCTTGCGCAAGGCCAAATTGGGTTGCGGATAATTGTGTTTACAGATGAGCAGTAACTGGAAATGGTATGCCCCAGCTGCAAAACCCCGTGCTTCTCTAGCTCTATGCCATAATAATGCATTTAAACTCCCTGATGCGATCTTTCAAGATCATTGACACCAGCGCAATGGAATGATCACTAAAGTAAGTTGATGTTGAGTCTTAGTGGCATAAAACCAATACTGTTTGGAACTTCAATTCTAGAGCTTCATCTCTCAGAATAAAAACCTTCTTGTAAAAGCATGGCTCTCTCACATCTTATTCTACTACTACTTTTTGTAGAGGAAGTCAGTCATGAATCTCAGTCCAACTTTGTTACCTTAAAAAGCATTTTAGATGCCAAACCTTATCTGATGAGAATTCAATCAATTAATAGATAAAACATGGCAAGGTCATGCAAATTTTGTAAGTGCCTTAATATTGTTGAGCCAAAATCATAATTTAAATGGATTGTACCATATCATTTTTCTATTATAGCTTGATCTTCAAAAAATATTACCCATAAACATAAAATAGCCGCAACTTCTATTACCACTTTAAAGCTCAGTTTTGATGGTCATGAAACTCGAAAGAGACAAAGAAACAGAAGTAAACATTAAAACTTTTAAATTTCATTTAGAAACCGATTGGGATCACTCATTGCATTATAATTCAGGACTTAAAGGAATACGAGATTACTCTAATGATGGTGAGACTTATCTCTTCGTTACCCTTGACTTGCATCTAGTTTCCAACTTTCAAATCTTCCTTTGTATCTTCCAAGGACGGCTAAACAGGTACAAACCTTTCTTGGATTGGTGCAACAGAACACAGTAGAAAGGGTGTACCATGCATCCGGTCGGATGCTTGGGATGGCTGTCCCTTATGCAGGCTTAATTAGCCTCACATTGTCGTCTAAGACCTGTAGGCTAGTGCCTACCAGTCCAAATCCTAAGTGTAGCCTTAATCACATAAAACATCCATCCCATCCTTTACCAAACTCAGATTCAGGCAACTTTTATCTTACAGGATTTAAGTGATTAGTTTTGGGTGAATCATGTAATGGCACAAAAAAAAATAATAAAATAAAATAAAATACTATTAGATTTGTAAGTACAAATACAGAAGTTCAATCAAATAAACAATATGCGAAATCATGAATGTAATAAAAGAAACTGTAAAAGCATGCAACTGAAATAAATATAGAAATCAAAGGTGTATCCACCTTGTTGCACGGTTGCAGTGGCACCAGCATTCAAGCTTCTTAACCTGACTAGAATCTCATCTGCTAACTTCTGTTTCAAGTGCTGTGGCAGTTCCAACACTTTTTCTTCTTTTAAGAAATCTTTCTTTAGTTGTCTTACCTTCAATTGCAAATAAATTACTCCCGATCAAATACAGCACAAACTACATTTCACCCACAATAATTACCAAAAACCAAACAAGGGACTTTACCAAGTTATTAAGTTCGGTAGGTTCTGATGCTTTTCGTATTTGATCTGATTCCTCCATTTTCCTGATCTGGTCTGAGGTGTACCTAAACGCTGTAAACGCAAAACCCCATTTTCTCAATGTGCAATGCAAAATCAACAATAAAAATCTCTAGAGAAATCCAAATTTCATAAACGATCAGCATAACCAATCAACAATAAAAATCCCCGTGGTCACTAAAACGTGGAAATCAACAAATCTCATATCCAAAAAAATACAGTAAAATCATAAAAATCAATACTTGAAAGCTCTCGGTGGTGCACCCCAGAGCCTGGATATTCATAAAACCAACCATTGCACACTGACAAACTCAATTAATCAACAAAAATCCCAAATGGGTCCTCAAAAAATTCCAAAGTAACAAATGTGCTATCAAGAAAACCATAACAGTCAAATCTTTTAACAAATGCGCTCTTACAGGTATGGGAATCACTGAACGGGTACACGTAAACAGAAGTGTAGAGATTGCGAAGCACATAGAGAGCAACGAAAATGTTGACGGAACAAACAATGAGTGTCGTCCTCTTGTACGAACACCATTTGCCTCTCCCATTATGGCCCCACTCTCTTCTCGCCATCTCTCTGCCCTACCTCCCTCAACTTCTTCTCCATAGCATCATAACTCTCTCTATATATATCCACGTTTATCTCTTAAATAAGATATATTTGTGAGTGTTTCTGGGTTCTATGACTTTTCTTGATGAAAGAAAGCGATAAGGAGAATATCTTCTGGGGATTTTCTAGTGGTTTTAAATGGAACAAACGGATCGACCGTATCAATGGAGGTTTTCTTTAATCTGGAATGATATCCTATATTACAGCAATGTGAAGCTGAACAATGGGAGTATCGTTCAATGATTTGGTGTTGCTGCAGATGTTTAGGTGGTGTTTTAATTATTCTTATTCCTGTTGTTTTTGGCTGATCTGTCACAATTAAGTGGTGATAAGTTTCTAACGTGCGCCGTATGGATAGGATTGGTGACTCTGCACTGTGTGGAAATCTTATGCCGACTAAAGCATGTCGTTTATAAATGGTTTAAAGGTTGTTTTTAACTAAGATTTTAATGAATTTTAAAAAATATTAAATTCTAATGAATTTTTATAAATTTTATAAAAATTTCTTCAAATATGATAAAATTTCAAAAAATTTAGTTATATATATATTTTTAAATTTGAAGTCCATCCAACATTTTTAAAATACTTCTATTAATGAATTTTTTATAAATCTACTAAATATTGAGAATATCTAAATTTTAAAAGATTTCATTAAATTTCATTAAAATCTCAATCAGAGACACTTAAATTTAAAATGATTTTTAAAGTTCTTCACAATCTCAATTGATGACACCCCAGCATTATAAATTTTTTGAAATGTATAAATAAAAATAATAAAATACTTATAAATATAAGTCAAATATTGGCTTAGTGACCGTGTTGTATATTAGTTGTTTAGGTGACAATATTTGTAACATTATATTTAATTAAATATAAAAATTTAAAAGCTCTTTGAATATGATCACGTATTATGAAAATCCCGTCATTGTTAGATGTGCAACGTTGCAATATCGCATGTAAGTGTGTCGCTAATAAGTAAGAAAGCGATAAGGATTGGCCTATTTATGCTTTGTTAAATCGTTAGATAACACCCACAAATTGATTTTGTCTTTTTACGAACTATTTAAAAGAAAGATAATGAGAAAATATTGAAAGCAAGTAAAAGTGAATTTTTGAGAAGACATGTTAGAATTCATTATTTTATTTTACCCTGGCTCAATTAATTCCATACAAGGAAAAGAAGAAGAAGCAATTAATGTATTACCCACTTTCTAAATATACACAGCTAATTATCTCACTTAGATGTCAAACTAGCTCAAATTAAGTATATTAATCTATTATCTTTATATGATTTATAAAATAATCAACCTCATTAATTTTCGTGAGAATATAACTCGAAGGATCACAAAATTAACGACGTATCTTTATCTTCTACCGAAAACTAAAAGTGCTTGCTACCGAGTCTAAATTATCTAATGACTTCTCGAAAATTAAATAAATCATTGAACAAACATTTTAGCGATCAAGCAAATGAAAGACATTAAACATATAACAAACATAACATGGAAATAGATAATATAAACTTATAAAGCAAATATTAAAATTACTTTCATTTGGATTCTAAGAGCCTGTTTGTTTTCCATTATGAGAGAAATTGTAGAGTTTTAAATAGTATTTTTTGAAAAATGTGTGGTTAAAATTTAAAGAAATTTTATTGATTTATGTGTAGAATATTTTATTATATGAATATGTGTGAAGAATATTATGGTAGCAAATAATTTAATTTGTTAAAGGATGACAAATAGGGCTAAATAAATTTTTTTCTTAATCTCCGTTGTACTTGAAAAAAATCACTTTTAGAATCAGAAAATGAAGACAATATTTATATTTAAAAATGGTCGCTTATCATCATTCACAAATTGTTGGGAAAATTGGTGATCTGTGTGTAGACATTTTTTTTTAAATTTTATCAATTAACATAATTAATTTATATATCATAACAAATATAATTTAAGAATAATATAACATAAAATAAAGAAGAGATTTAGAAAACAAGTTTTGGGAGTCGTATCGAAGACGCTGTCCTAAAGTCGTGTTGCCTCCCCTTCGTGTGGGTTTTTCAGGCACGATACGCTCCAACATAAAACTCATGTGGCTTTCCTTCTATGGGCACGACTATAGAGAGATAAGTGAATGCGTCTCTCATTGAGTTGCCAAAATATTGAAATATAGTAAGAGTTGTATAGAGTCTTTTTCTTTCAAATTGTGATTCCAATACTCATTTTCAATGAGAAATAACCATCTTTTTATAGGTAAAATCAACCTCACAATTAAGTCATTAAAATATAGGTTATAACATGAATTATGATGTTTTAATTGTGTTAAAAATGATTATTAAGTAAATAAAAACAGAAAATAAAATAGGTTAAATATTGAAAGGTCAAAACTTAACTTTAAGTCACAACAATCTCCCACAAGTTTTAAACTTTCAAAATAATTAAAAATGTATAATAGTGACAACATAATACCGTGCAACAAGTGTAGGTGTTTTGACTTACTCATTTAGTGACAACAATTTCCATTTGAGAGAGCCATAATAGACTAAGTCTCTTTGGCCAAACTTCAATCGTTCCACACACAATATCTATTTAGACTCTAGTTCATAGCGGGTATCACTATTAATGGCCATGCGCTCAAATCTTGGTAAGAGTTTCTAGGGAATAACTCAATCCCATAGCCACAGCCTCATGGCAACTCTTAGATGAGTCCTCCAAGGGTGCGTGTGATCCACATCTCGTGAGAATTTTCGCCTCGGTACTCATTCAGGATTAGACCCTTCCTAACATCACATTATCATTAGCACTATCACTATAGAGATAAGTACAAATAATATAATGATATTACGAGTCACGCAGTACAGATTGTTTCTACCACATTGAACCTTCTTCATGGGATCTCCAACCTCAAAGGTTGGGTTAGTCTCGAAGATGACTCCCTTATTAACTTAAACACATCCCCCTCGATGATTTATGAGTGTCCATCTCGAACTACAATTTATTTATTTATGTCCCTCTTGGACGATAATTTGGTACCATCAACTTGTAAAACGCATATTCTTTGCCTCCATATCTGCACGTCTGCAAAATCTTCTAAAATATTTCAAAATATCAAAGTCACATTAAGTATAATAAAATAAACAAATAAAATTTAGAAGACATCTAGTCACATTCTTGCATCCGTTCAACTCTTATATTTCACTTGCATGTCTCTAGTTCCATTTCTAATACTATTCAAAAGTCAGTCTTACACAAAGAATAATAAATATAAGGTGTATCTATCAAAATTTCTAAGCATCCCACATTTCAAAGATATAAGAATTCATTACTAAATAATATCTTGATTTCCATATATCATAATATAATATTGATTTTTGTAGTTGACTAAGACGGATCGAGACTCTACAAACATCAATTTTCAATGCATACGGTACACATCACATATGTATATGATTGTATCATTTGTGGATGACTATATTAAATTATTAATTACCATAGCGTTATCAAGTTTTCCAACACTAACCAATTCACTGCATTCCTCATTGAATGCAGAAGTTGCATTTTTTTTAACCTTTATTTATTCTTCAACTTCATTTGGAAGAAAATAGTAAACGAATTTGTTCATCAAAATTAAAAATACAATAATTGATGCTTAGGTTATACAAAGTAAACCAAATACATTTAAGGAATCACTTTAATAAATATTTTTATGTCTAGACATTAAAATTAATTTGATAAATAAAATTAGTATAAAACATAAAGACTTGTATTTTAGAAATCAAGTTAACTGATATGGTGTTACTTTATAGAAAACCTTGAAGGCATTTCAATTAATACATGCACATCTTATAAAACACAAATTTTGTATACAATAGAGTTATTCGTTAACACAAACACCTACATCATCTTTTTAAATAAAATATCCATGAATATTAAATAATTTAATTAAGGTTTTTAATTTTATTAAATCTAGTATTTAAACAACAAAATTTAAATGAATGAAAACTGAAAATTAAACGTGCCTTTAATTATGAAATTTTAAATTTATAGATTTATGTTATAATATTCAAGACAATAACCCATTAAACAAGTTGGATCTAAATGTAAAGGAATAGCAAGAAACAAGAACAAGAAAAAGGCTGGCATGCAAACATCTATCTTAAGTCTATGTCGAAATGATGTCAAAGCACTTGGTCTTCCTCGTATTATTCTCCGTTCTTTCAATGAATGGAAAAGATAGATGAATTTTTATAGTTCTGTACGGAGGGAAAGAGAATTCGGGCCACTGCTAACAAAAATTAACACAAAATGTTAATGCTAATATATCAACCAATCACATTAGCAAATTTACAGGGGAGCCATGCAAACTTCTACATACCTTCGTGTCATTATTATTAATTATTACTATTATTATTTTTTATCAATGAATGCAAAATATTATTATGTCACAAGTTGAATTGGAACTTTGGTTCTTTTCAGAATTTGAGTTACTTTCTAATGTACATAAACAAAACTGTGGTTAATTTGACAGGGAAATCGCATCATTTTAAGAATAGAATTTAAAATAAAACTACACATAAAAGGATTTTTTATTTATTTTTTATTTTTTTAAATTTCTCCTACCCCAGTTGAGACTCAAACGACTTGAGAAGCCTTGATCTCTATAAAGAGGAAACTGTTTGATACGATTGAATAAAAAGAAACAAAGAGTAAAGATCAAAAGAAAAAGGAAAAGGCAAATTTGTAAGTAAAAAATTTTCAATCGATTTCTCGAATCAACAATTATTATAACGCACGAGTCAAAAGAATTTCTATGAGATTTTCACTATTTCGAAGATACATGTCCAAACTATTTGTGTAAGTTCACGAGTGTTTTTTTATTTATTTATTTTTTAATACACCTTACTCATTAGTCATTACTACTGAGAGATTTCCAAACGGACATGAAGAAATGATGGGAACAAGGAGTTGGATATCACGTGTTTTAATTATTTATTATTCTCTTTTCTAACTCTTATACAACTAAGTTATTTCCTAATCCCAGTCAATTAGGACTCTTTCCAAGGCCTAGATTAAAAGTTCATATACAGGTTTCAGGTACTACTACTTGCTGAAGAATTAACAATTGAATTGCTTTCCTGAGCTATGGAATTGGACTTTTTGTGGGTATCAGTGTACAGGCAAACTCTTGTTCCTTCGCTTGTTGGAGCACATCCTGCGATTTACCTCCCTCACGATGCTCCAGAGGTGGGACGGTGGGGGACCCTCAAGATTGGGGTTCAACCTTTTT